TATTCTATGGACTTAAAACACATCACACTCAGTACACTCAGCATTGGAATTATTTTGCTTTTGGCTAAGTTGTCTTTAAAATAGACCAAAGTCCTCCCTGATCTTTGATCTCATGGTGCAATTTTTTACAATTCCTAACTTCTGTACAGTTTTGTTAATGTTTCAGCTACCTAGCAACAATGAAAGAAAAAGTTAAAACTTAAAGCAGAACTCCAGTCAAAAATAACAAGACAGAAATTAATAGCCTAATAAAAGTTAAAATAACAAAACTAGTTTTTGTCACCTGTAATCCAGGGCAGCCTTTCTCGATCTTTTTAACAGGGAGAAACCCTTGAAATACTTTTTCGTCTTGTGGAACCTCTGATAATAATTACTATATCTACATCTCACAATACAGTAACATGATGGTCAGTGGGAAGAATCCCTCCTTGCAAATAGCTAAAAAGATAGATTGTTTCCAGTGATTACTTATCTTAGAGGCAGAAATTGCTCATTGCTTAAAGTGTTAGTAAAGACATGAAAAAGAATTCCCCCTGCAAGTTAATATCATAATGCCCCGAATAATAGCACATTATGAAAGACTTACCCTAAAACGAAGCCCTCAAGAGATACACTGTCATCTCTGACATGGCTTCCATCTTCACTCGGTCTTCCTTCCGGGTTTGAGGGCTCCTGCAGTTTGAATGGCCAAGTCACTATGCCATCACTCCTGCACATGCACACGGGAGCCACAAATGGCACTCTGAAAGGAATGGCGCCCATCCATTTAGATTGCAGTGCTCATGTGCCAGTGATGTCTACAATATCTCCTAAAGGATGCATGTTTAGAAGATATTCTTTGTACCTACAGGTGAGCTTTATTATAAGATCACCTGTAGGTACTAGCTATCAAGCTGTGTTTACAGCTGCTTTAAAGAACCTCTAGCAACTTATGGAGAAACCCAGATTGTGACGCTTAGGATGCAGGGTATTTTTTCTGCCACTAAATGTCCTCTGTCTGATAGCCAGCATCATTCAACCCACTTTCTGTGAACCCAGGGATATCCTGGATCACATCAGCCTGTGACTGGACAGTAAATGGAACAGTAGTGATGAGCTCATTTCTCTTTCACTCTGCTCACACCTCCTACCAGCATGTAGGCAGGTGCAGTCTGCTTTCTACACTGTAGGTGGTGCTCAACTGGAGCGGTACAGCAGTTGGAGAGGAATTCAGGAGTAACCTTCTTTATGGTTTCTTTATGGTTTCCTCTGCCCCTTGGAGCAGTGTTCCAGTTGGTTACACTGCGTCCAGGTGACTCTAGTGGCCTTCTTGGGCCAAATAGTCATTTTAAGTCCCTGCCTCCAGGTTTTGGTGTGCATCTGTGAAGTGGCTAGTGTAAGGAGAGCTTACACATCTGTCGGTACAGCACTTGCGGTAGGGAAAGGTTCCAGAGGAGCAGAGAAAGAGCAGGGCCTACGCCTATATTTCCTCAAGCTCCCTCCTGGGTTGGACTGGCCATGTTGCACTCTCTTGGCAAGAGCTCTCTTCAACTCAAGCATACCACCACCGAATCTGCTGTACTGACTGAGTTCCCAGTCGGGAGTTTCACCCCGCCGAGCTGTTGTAGTGTTCTGTGAGGTCTTTAATCTCCAGAGGATTTAACCCCCTTCCTGACCAGGCCATTTTTTGCATTATGGTGCTGCACCTAAATTTAATTTACGTCCTTTTTTTTCCACAAATAGAGCTTTCTTTCAGTGGTATTTGATTGCCTGATTTGCGCTATTAAAAAAACAAAACTGACATTTTTGACAAAAGAAACAGCATTTCTGACTTTTTGATATTAAACATGTCCAGTAAAAAAATCATTTCGTCATAAATTTAGGCCAAAATGTATTCTGCTACATGTCTTTGCTAAAAAAAACTCCCAATACCTGTAAATTAATTGGTTTATGTGAACGTTATAGCATTTACAAATGGCGGTATATATACTGGGCTTTTTATTTGTTTTTACTAGTAACAGTGGCAATCAGCGACTTATAGCAGGACTGTGGGACTGTGGCGGGGAACTGACTTGGTGTCACTGACATCCATAGTGACACCAATACAGTGATCAGTGCTAATAAAAAGCACTGACACTGTACTAACGGCACTGGGCAGGAAGGGGTTAACATGTGGGGCAATCAAAGGGTTAACATTGTGCTGTTCTAGTGTGTGCTGTATGTGTGTGTGTAAGCACAATGCTTTGATGGCTGTGTGTGCACAGCCATGCAAAGTAGCGTGCAGGAGCTGACAGGGGAGAGAACTGTTTTGTTTACTAACAGTTTTTCCCCCATCGGAGATCCTTGGCAATCACCAGGCACCGACGAGTAATCACCGCCCGGGACCCGGTGATTGACAGCTGCGGTCGCAAACCCCTACCCGGAAATGCTAAATCACATATGTATAAATGATTTTGCGCACAGCTGCTGCCCTGTAGCACTATATCTGCTATGAGGATGTGGCAAAGAGGTTAATACATTGCTTTCTGCACTTCAAGCCTCAGTGTGATCACTCCTGCTTCACTACGTTGTACCTACCCCACATGGTTGCTTCTTGCCACCACATTAACTAATTGGCTCCCTGTGCTGCTACTTCTCTTTATACAGCAGCTCTTCTATACATGGACTGCTAGAGGCTGATATCAGGTCAAATTCAGGTATTTACACTAGTTACAAATACATTTATTCATGTAATAATGATTACCGAGGTTCATTATTTATGTCTGTTATACGATCAGTGCCCAGCAGTGCCACCCACCTGTGCCCATCAGTGCTGCCCACCTGTACCCATCAGTGCCACCCACCTGTGCCTAGCAGTGACACCCACCTGTGCCCATCAGTACTACCCACCTGTGCCCTTCAGTGCCACCCACCTGTGCCCATCAGTGCCACCCATCAGTGCTGCCTAGCAGTGCTGCCCATCAGTGCCACTCATCAGTGCCCAGAAGTGCCGCCTATCAGTGCAACATCATCAGTGCCAGCTCATCAGTGCTGCCTATCAACACCATCAGTGCCCCCTATCCGTGCCACCTCATCAGTGCCCATCAGTGCTGCCTATCAGTGAAGCCTCATCAACGCACATCAGTGAAGGAGAAAAATTACCTGTTTGCTAAATTTTATAATAGAAACAAAGAAAAACTTTTTTCACATTTTTTGCTCTTTTTTTTTGTTTATAGCGTAAAAGATAAAACACACAGTGGTGAATAAATACCACCAAAAGAAATCTCTATTTGTGTGAAAAAAAATTATAAAAATTTCATATGGGTACAATGTTGCATGGCCGCGCAATTGTCATTCAAAATGCGACAGCGCTGAAAGCTGAAAATTGTCCTGGGCAGGAAGGGGGTAGAAGTGCCCAGTAGGCAAGTGGTTAAGGTGAATCACAATCACACTTGTTTTTCCTGTTAATATTTAAAGTTGATATCCTTGTGGTCCTGATGCAAGGTCTAGGGGTGTGACGCTCAATTTGTGGGTTTTAATCAAGGATTCTTCCTGTATCGTGCGGGTCACAAGACCTGTGTATTATGCTGGGAGAACACTTTGAAGTTTGCTGCTTGTTCTTGTTTGTTTTTATGTTTGCATGACTTTATGGGAAAGGGAAGGATGGAGGATAGGTGGGAAATAGCAGACGGGGGGGGGGGGGGGGCAGGAGGAATATCCATTCCACATACTGTTATGTAACACCAGCTCTGTATTTGGTGTCACATATACGTATGTTTAAAGTAGAACTCTAGTCAAGTCCTTTTGTTAGCTTTTGGATAGAGTGGGGATAATTAGACAGAGGTTCTGAGCCTTCCCCAATCCAAGACTGTTTGACTTAATGAGGTAAAGAGCAAGGTTCATGGTTTATTAATCCATCCCAATTAATGTGTCATTGGTCTATAGCAGTTCTAAAACCAGCTGTACATGACCTAAAGTGGTTTTGAAAGGCAGAAGGTTTTTACCTTTATGCATTCTATACATTAACATAAAAAACTTTCTACATGGAGCTCTCCTCCAGCCCCATTATAATTTACTGAGCCCGATCTCAATCAAGTGATGTGTATGAGAGCAGTGGATCTCTTGGCTCTCTCTCTCTTCATTGGCTCAGAGCCTTTGGCACCTGCTGCTGTCAATTACAGCCAGTGAGGTGGGAGGAGTTGGGGTCAAGCACGGCTCTGTGTGTCAAAGGACACACGGAGCTGGCTTGGGAGCAGTCCCACATGAGTGCTCAATAGCAAGCAGCTTGCTATGGGGGTGCTTGGCAGGGGGGGGGGGGGGTGCCAGGAGCAGCAGCAGGGGACTCAAGATGAGGAGGATCGTTCCTGCACTGTACAAAACCAATTCCAATCGCTTTATGATTTGCAATAATGCAATGCAGTAATGTGGCCATACTGGACATCATTCAACGTCAGACCCTCTGGGTTAAGGTTGACAGTACATGGCTCGATAACAGCAAGCAATGTGCCAAAGCCAAGGTATTTAACCTCCCTAGCGGTCTGATTATGTCAGTATTTCTGTGCTCAAAGCGGTACATTTTTTTTTGCATGGAAATATTTTTTTTTTATTGTAGACCTGTAATTTTTAGGAATAACTCACTTGAAATCTGTCTGAACAAGAGTCTAGTAAACATCCCGGGTATGTTAAAATGTGAAACATAAAATCATAAATTATAATTTAATAAATAATCATAAAAATAATTATATAATAATAAATTTAATTCAATAATATAATCAAACCAAAAACACTGAAATTTGAAATATAGCGCCAAGTTCGCACATCGCTGAGCAAAGTCACAAAATCGTTTTCAGTGTCTGATGACGAATTTCCCCACGAATCATTATCACTCAATTCTGCAAGTGGTTCTGATTTACTATCACTGTTTTCCAGCTGGTCTAAAACTGCTTTTGACCTAAAGGGACACTTTTTGGACATTTCTCAGTTTCCAGGCAGAAAGAACCTTAAAAATTCAGGCAGGGCACAGGCAAAGCACTCGGGACAACATGTATGTGAAATGGTTTGATACAGTAATGTTTTACTATGTGATCTTAGTGTATTTAGTGAATGTCACTTTTTGACATTTTTAAATTTTTCACCAGTCCGGTCCCCCGTACGTCCCGACGTCGCAGGGAACGGAACCCGGAAGACAGATGCCGGCATCGGCCGGAGGACACTGCAGGGGACACTGCAGGAGGGACATCACGGGAGCGAAGGACAAGGTAAGGGCAGAAGGGTTCCCAGAGCAACGCTGCAAGGTATTTCCGAGTGTAGCTCGGGGTTACCGCTTGTGGTGCTGAAACTTTACCCCGAGCTACACTCAGGAATACCTCCAGGGAGGTTAAGGAACTTTTTTAGCAGTTCTGTAACTGATAAGAAATCATTCCTTCTCTTTAGACATTTGTGAATAGTCACACAGCATCTCTGATGTGGTTTAGCCAAACTCCTACACCTGTTTATATTTGAAAAAATGGTTTAAAAAATCCACCCCTCCAACACTTAACACTTCCCCCCCAAAAAACTAACCCTAACTTTAAAGCAACACTAAAACATTTCTGTATTATTTAAAAATAATCCATACACATCCTCTACTGGGGTTAATTCACTTTTCAGAAAAAATTAAAAGGTGAACTAACACTGTACACAACCCCACCCCCAGTCTTCAATGTACTTACCTCTGCAAATGATGAACTCTCCTAGCTCACGCTGCCTGTGTAGCGGTCCAGGGATTTGAAATCCTTGCTCTTCTCCTTCTTCTTTCTGTAGAGCTTCCAGGATGGATGTGTGCTATTCTGATTGGTCACACATTTCTGCCTCCTTGTAATGTTCTCTGTGAACTCCCGAACTTCGACTATTCCCCTTTACTTTCATTTGGAATGAGCAGTGCAGGTTAGTTGCGGTCATATGTACTGCTCTATGCACACTACAAATCCTATAGTCCTTAGTCTGTAGACCAACTCAGGAGTGCACAAATCTATTGACTACATTCCTGCATAGAGTGGAACCAACATAGAAAGAACATAGACACTCTTTAACTAGGAATTTGGAGATTGTAAGAAGGCTGATAGCAATAGAAGGTACTTTTTGAGTTAAAGTAGAGTTCCACCCAAAAGGGGAAGTTCCGCTTTAATGCTCTGTCCCCTGCTCCCCATTACAGATTGGCACCTTTGGGGAGCGGGTACCCGAATTTCACAGGTACCTGTTCCCACTTCCACTGCAATCGCCTAGGCGATCGGAAGCGGACGTTTTCCTCCCTCCCCGTAGTCTTCTGGGACACGTTACAGGTCCCAGAAGACTACGGGGCCATTCATAAAGCGCAGTGCTTCTAGCGCATGTGCAGTGGGCACCCGGCTGTGAAGCCGCAAGCTGTCACAGCCAAGTGCCCACACTAAAGATGCCGGCGCCAGGGAGAGAAGACGGCTGGTGCAACCAGCGGTGGTGAGGACACTGCTGGACCGAGTGAAAGGTAAGTGCCTGTATTTTAAAATTCAGCAGCTACAGTTTTTGTAGCCGCTGACTTTTTTTTTTTTTTCAGCTGTAACTCCTCTTTAAGAATATATACCTGAATAGGTTTTTTAAAAAACGTTTAGTGTCACTTTCAAGTAGATGTAAACTCTAACTGGATGACGCTTAGTTTTGTAAAGCACTATATATGATAAACAATTGTCATGTTTTTCTTTTACAAAATACCACTTTTACCTTTTTTCCTTATGGCATCTCAGTATGATCTCAGCTGATCTCCTGCAGCCTTTTTGGAACCTATTCCCGTCTCAGCACAGCTGCTTATAGTCATGTATGTGACGGGGTGACAACACAGGAAGGCAATTGGAATACAGGGACAGAGCATTGTTAGCTCATACCAGGAGGAGCCTGAACAAGAAATCAAATGGCAGGATCACACGGGGGTTTTGTGCTGAAAGGAAGATTGAAAAAAAGCTAATGTGAGATTTATGTGATTGGGTTTAAAGAGTAACTCCACTTTTGTTGAGAAAAAAACATTCCCCTCTGGGTGATCAATTTTCAATGCAAGGATGTTAACAAACTTTGTCACAGATTCCTACCTGTTGTCATTCTGAAGAAACAGCTATGTGTTTGTCTGTGTCCATGTGCAAAGTGAATGTGAATAAGAGTGATTTTATAATTATCAATCAGCTGCTGCACTTGCAGGGTTCTGCATCTCTTTAGACATGATTTCCCTGTGGGAGTGCATCACCTAAACTGACATTTTTGTTGCAGGGGATGCCCAAAATGTGACTTGTGCAGACATCTGGGAAAAGCAGTAAGCCAATCACGCAAGCAGAAAATAATGTTTATGAGGGGCGTTCTGTACACAGAATGTCTCCAGGCAGCCATATTGCATTGCATTTTACAGAAAATTACAGCGCTGCAGATAATTTTTAATAACTTTCAAGTACAAAATGATGTGTGTAGCAATTATATACGCCTTTTTTTTTTTTTAATTTGCAATTTGTTTCCCCTCGACAGAGGAGTTATTCTTCATGTTTAAACCCTTTGTTGCATAATGTTCACTAGTGAAGGCTGGCTATCCCTCGTAGAGGACAAATCACAGATGGAATCTGATTGGTTGCTATTGACAGCACTTCCACTTTTCATTGCGTTATTTTCATAATTATGCGCTTGCTGCAAAAAAGTTGGTGGTCACATGACTTCCCTGCCAAAGACCTGAACTGAATAGAGATGAACCAGAGACAACTAGAGGGGTGGAATTTTAGATGAATGAACTCGGCACAGGAAGGGTTATCCTCTTACCCCCTGCATTGTGTATGAATAGTCTCATATGTTAAGCCGATAAGACTTAGCTGAGCCCTGGGGGTCTCTCCTCCTCCTATTGCTAGTGCTGGCATATTTCGTGTCATACAGAAGGTATCATACATGTCACCCTCTATCTGGACATCAAAAGACTGAGCTGAAGGAAGGTGGATTTTCTCAAGGCTCTCTCCCCACCATGGAATTGTTAGCAGGACAATGGAGCTCTGTGTCCGTCTTGTTGGCACCAGATTTGTACAATACAGGAAACAGCATTTCCTTTCTTAGCTAGAAATTAACTTGGATCGTGCTCTTCCCGTTTTATTACTAATACACACCGGGAAACCGAGACTTAAAGACCTTCAGAAGTGACTATTGCCTGGGGCCCTGTGGGGTAGTAAAAGCAGCCATCAGCAGGCTCTAAAAATAAATGGCTGCAGAGAGTTTGGTGGGGCTCTGGGCTATATATGTACATTTATTAGCTATTGTCCTACTCCTATGGTGACCAAGCAATGAATGGAAATTGGATGCTGACTCTCAGTTCCTATGTCATTAACCCTTTTCCTGATAAGTGTCCTGGCAGGCACATGAGTAGGAGCGGGGCACTGCAAGGCGAGGTCACCCAGGTCATTCATGCCTCATTGCTTCTGTATGATACTTACTGACTAATAGGTGCTAATGTGCATCCTAATTCTAACGTTAGCCAAAGACATTAGATGGCTGTGTATTCTGCAGTATCACCATCGCACTTATTAACCTTTCATTCCTCCCTTCCCACAATTGTTCATGTGGCATTGCCCAATTATTAAAATTTTACTTACAGCCCTGGGTGATTTGTGAACGCATCAAGCTCCTGTGTTCATTGACAAAATGAATGCGGGAATTACCCTAACCAGGTTGTAAAACCTGGTAAACATAATGAGAATATCGGACGAATGAGCGTAATTTTTTTTGCTCGTCTCATATAAAAAATGAAAAATTCTTATATGACAGAATACAACTTCCCGTGATGATGTAATGTATTGTAATGTATTCTTTAATTTCCGAGCATGCACGGTCTTGGTCACTTGATTTTTTTACAGACAAATGCTGTGCTCGGTGTTTTTAAAAATTATTATCACTATTATTGCTAATTAAATGAAAGAAATTAATGGTTATAAGTGGTATAGAAATATATGGTGGAAATGACCAATTTTCCAAGATGAAATGTATGTGTGTATACAGTGGGGCAAAAAAGTATTTAGTCAGCCACCAATTGTGCAAGGTCTCCCACTTAAAAGATGAGAGAGGCCTGTAATTGGCATCATAGGTAGACCTCAACTATGAGAGACAGAGTGAGAAAAAAAAAAAATCCAGACAATCACATTGGCTGATTTGGAAAGAATTTATTTGCAAATTATGGTGGAAAAGAAGTATTTGGTCAATATCAAAAGTTCATCTCAATACTTTGTTATATATCCTTTGTTGGCAATGACAGAGGTCAAACGTTTCCTGTAAGTCTTCACAAGGTTGGCACATACTGTTGCTGGTATGTTGGCCCATTCCTCCATGCAGATCTCCTCTAGAGCAGTGATGTTTTGGGGCTGTCGCTGGGCAACACAGACTTTCAACTCCATCCAAAGGTTTTCTAAGGGGTTGAGACTGGCTAGGCCACTCCAGGACCTTGAAATGCTTCTTACGAAGCCACTCCTTCGTTGCCCGGGCGGTATGTTTGGGATCATTGTCATGTTGGAAGACCCAGCCACATTTCATCTTCAATGCCCTTGCTGATGGAAGGAGGTTTGCACTCAAAATCTCACGATACATGGCCCCATTCATTCTGTCCTGTAGATGGATCAGTCATCCTGGTCCCTTTGCAGAGAAACAGCCCCAAAGCATGATGTTGCCACCCCCATGCTTCACAGTAGGTCTGGTGTTCTTTGGATGCAACTCAGCATTCTCTCCTCCAAACACGATGAGTTGTTTTTTTACCAAACAGTTCTATTTTGGTTTCAACTGACCATATGACATTCTCCCAATCCTCTTCTGGATTATCCAAATGCTCTCTAGCAAACTTCAGACGGGCCCGGACATGTACTGGCTTAAGCAGAGGACAACGTCTGGCACTGCAGGATCTGAGTCCCTGGCGGCATAGTGTGTTACTGATGGTAGCCTTTGTTACGTTGGTCCCAGCTCTCTGCAGGTCATTCACTAGGTCCTCCCCGTGTGGTCCTGGGATTTTTGCTCATCGTTCTTGTGATCATTTTGACCCCACGGGGTGAGATCTTGTGTGGAGCCCCAGATCGAGGGAGATTATCAGTGGTCTTGTATGTCTTCCATTTTCGAATTATTGCTCCCACAGTTGATTTGTTCACACCAAGCTGCTTGCCTATTGCAGATTCAGTCTTCCCAGCCTGGTGCAGGTCTACA